ATACCCCACCCCAAAACTGTAAACCTGGGGAAACACTGCACATTGTACCAGAATAAGACAAAGGCTCTCTTCTATCTGTCGTCTGTGAATATAGTACTACGTATAGTAGTGTTCAAAAGTATTCATATAGAAATGCAACAAGCATTTCTGAATTCAATGTTTGTATGAAATACTACAGAAAAATCCTTCATCTTTTTAGTTTCACCTCCACCTCTTGCTGGTCTAAAAGAGCTGGTGCTGTTAACCTCACTCCCACCTGTGGTTACTACTGACTAACAGCTCAGTGTATTTAAAATACATTATCTGTTAACTATTAACAGTGTAAATTGAAAACGTAATGAAGACTCACTCTTTTTTCCTCATACTCAGGGTCAGCCAGGCTCTCCTTCACCACTGCTTTAGGAGGAGGACCCAGGAGAAATGGCGGATCCTCCTAAAAACATATATAAAAAACATATATCAGATATAAACACAAATGAGCTTTTGATTATTACTAAATTGGATGAGCAAGTGTTGAATTACTGTTTGGATTGGGCATCATTCTAGTACAACAGCAAAATGAATAGTTAATATATAAAAGTCAAATGCTACAATAATGTATTGTATTGAAGTACGCCCTTAATCTTAAGCAGTGCACGCTTTTTGTTGTTGTTCATTTGCAACATTAATTTCTTAGTCTTCAATTTTCAAGTTCTTTTCAATTATATGATGTTGTAAAATTACCCCAAAGTTTTTTTTTTTAACAAGTGAAAGCAACGATGCTTTACAACAGGTTATAATGGTAACCATGGATACAACTATTATTGTTTCTACTGTTTCAGTCGAACAGTTGCAGCTCATCCAGAATGCTGCGGCCAGGATTCTGACCAGAACCAGAAAATCATCACACATCACATCTGTCCTCAGATCTTTACACAGTCTCCCAGTTACATTCAGAATAGCTTTTAAAGTATGATTATTTATGTATTAATCACTAAATGGCCTGGGACCTCAGTACATTACAGATATGCTCACTGAATGCAAACTGAACAGATCACTCAGATCTTTAGGATCATATAAACTAGAAACTCAGTTCAGTTCATTCAAAGCAGGGTGAATTGGCCTACAGGTGCTACAACCCCCCCACCCCCCGCTGCTGGAATCAGCTTCTAGAAATGATCAGATGTGCTCCAACAGTAGGCACATTCAAATCAAGACTGAAAACACATCTGTTTAGCTGTGCCTTTACTGAATTATGTTACGTCCGAGAGATCATCATCACACTATTGTCTTTTTTATCTTTTTCATTCTTTTAAAACCTGTTTTAACACATTTTAATCTGTTTTTATTCTATCTTATTCTTGTCTCTTTTATTCCTGTTTCTGTAAAGCACTTTAATTTACCACTGTGTATGAAATGTGCTATATAAATAAACCTGCCTTGCCGTACTTTAGAATACATTATTATAGTATCCTGTTTATTGATATCACTATTATTATATGCCAGTAGTGGCTAATATGGACAATATATAAGAGCAATATTATTCTAACAACAATAACGTAGTAATAATGACATCTTAGCACAAGCTTTGGTTGCTTATTTGTAAGGCTGTAAGAAATGTGTTATAAATTATAATCAATGTATTTTTATGACAACAGAGAAACTATACAACTTAACTGTGTTTAGGCATGGGACAATAACCATTTTCAAGGTATACCGCGGTTTTGGAAAATGTTCTGCTATACTGTTCCTATGACATATGTAAATTTTTAGGTTTTGTTTTTAGTTTTTTTATGACACCAGCATCTCCAGAAGAAAATACATCTAAAGATGCCATTTTAATATGTAAACGAATCAGTTTTTGAAACAAATAACGATAGCAGAAGTCAATGATTCATCTGTATAATTTAGCCTGTCATGTTTACTGTCCCACAATATTTTAAGTTTCCTAAAAGTAAAATATAAGTTGTAGTTATTTACACAGATATTTAAAAGGAATATATTTTAGAGCAGTAATCACAATGCCATAAAACTGATGTTTTTATCCGAGGTTATCATACGGTCAGAATCTTATACATGCCTAACTCTGTTATGTAAATGCAAACACAAGTGTGTAAGCCAAGCCATGTGACATAACATAAAAAGTTAGAGCTCAGTCTTATAACTGTTTAACGTTATAGTAACAAAAGATAAACAACACTCAGTGACGCTCGATTATCTGAGCTCAAATAAAGGCAGCATGACATCAGAGTCGTGTCAGATCACTGTGTGCGTGTGTGTACGAGTGTTTGTTTACATAGACCGCGTCTGCATGTAGTTGCTAATGTGAATCATACAGATTTATTTGCGCTCCGTCTGCAAGAAGTGTGGCGCAACTCTGCCCCGACCGCAAACGGAGCGCATGCAAATCTGTCAAAGACACACAGAAACACGCTGCTGTACACACAGTAATAAACATTTAGAGCTGTGCAGATGTGAACTCCGCCTTCCCGCCATGTTCCGCTCGCCGCAAACGCAGATCAACTGTAAACTTCTGCATCCTGTTTTTCGTGTCCGTCTGCAAACACATTATGCACTTCTCTTTTTTCTCTTTCTTTACCTCTTCCGCCTCCGCGTGCGCCTCCCGAGAAGTAGACGGTAGCTCTTCGTCCGACATGTTTGTCAATGTAGGAAGGTTTTCATGAGTTATTGGTGAACAGATAGTAAGTTATAAAGAATAATTTTGGCATATGCGTCATGACAGGACCATAGTCACGGCGCGCGCACACGCCCCTTTCAGAGCTTCATACTAAATCTCGCGAGATTGGAAAGGTCCCATGCCTATTTCTGAGCTGTTTGTTGAATCTCGCGATATTATGAAACGCTCAAAATTGGTAGACGTCGAACTGTAACCATATGCATAAAATTGTTGAATTTTGGACGACTAACTTACGTGTAAAAATTTACTGGGAAACAAAGCACAAAGATCAAGTATGTCTTTTATTAATACCGCATTTCAAACTAAATACTATGATGTTATAAGGTGACTGAATTACTGAGAATAGAATGTGGATGGACATAATTACAATTTCTCGTTTGTAAAATATCTGTACTAAACACTCTGAAATTGCAAAGTAACCAGATTCCTGAAAGAGAAAATTTGATAACACTTTGTACTAACTACACACTCTGAATCATCTATTAAGCACTAGCAAATAGTGAATTCATTATCTGGTAAGCAAGCATTAACTGCATTAATAGACGTTAGTAAGCAGTTTATAATCCCAGCTACAAGTGCTGTATTCTTGACTTATAAGCACATGTATAATGTGCTTATTAATTGTATTTTCATACTTTAACTATTTTATTACTTTTTTCTTATTATTTTATTATCTTGTTTTATTAATTATTTTCATTACTAAATTAAGTATTGCATTATTTACAAATCAGTTATTTGAGAGTAGTTGGTTAATAAACTTTTCAAATTAACATTTAGCCTATATATTTTATTATTCAGACATATATTAATAGTTGATTTGTATTTTAGTAAATGCTTTAACTTAACTTCTTCTAGTTTTGTGACCTAATCTAAAGTGAGGACTAATTATAAACCCTTTATAAATAACAATTAAATGCTCATTTATATTCTAAACAGGAAAAAAGAAAATACACAACTTTATTAATTTCTATTCATTTGAAGTTACACAAATGAAACTTTTAAATGAAAAATAAATCTTTGCAATGTTAACTAAAATAAAATTACCGTACGGATTAGACATCACTAAATAAGACTGAAATGTTGTCTCATAATATATTGTTAAATTATCATATTGCTGTTTTTCTGTCCAATTTTATGATGTATTTTGACACTCCTTTTAGTGAACAATGTTTAAACTTTACAGTAAATTAATTTTTAAGGCAAGATTAAAAAGATGTATTATTTATTTGATATTGAGACTCTAATTGTCTTTAAGACAATTGTAATTTTATTAAATTAATTGTAATTTTAATAAGGGATTTATAAATCATAAATAGTCCTCACTTTAGATTAGGTCACAAAACCGGATAAACTATACAAACTAGCCATTACTATATGCCTAAATAAGAATACATAACTGTTCGTTTGAATAGTTTATTAAACATTAACTCATTCTGAATGATGAAAAAACAACTACTCTTAAATACAAATGATTTGTACATAATGTGATACATAATTTTGTCATGAAAAATAAACCAGTAACATAGTATGAAAGTACAATTATTAAGCACATTATAAATGTGCTTGTAAGTCAAGAATACAGCATTTGTATCTGCAGTTATAAATTGCTTACTAACGTCTATTAATGCAGAGGTTATGCTTGACAAATAACAAATTCACTATTTGCTAAAAGATGATTTATAGTGTGTAGTTATTAGTTACCGAAAATTGAGAAGTTTCCACATTCAGTGGTCAAAATACAACATATAGTCTTTCATGTTATTATCCTTAAATAAAAACAAACGAGAAATGTTGTTTTTTATTTTTTCCATATACTAGTTCCATATACTAATATTATTTTTTATAACTTTATTCCACCAGAAAACTTTTTGTGGTTTAAAAAAACGCCTTAAGACTCTAGAAATTAAAACATTCATATTGTGATGTCTAAAATACATATAAATATGCTTGAAAATATTTAATGCAGAACAAAAAATTTCTGCATTTTTGTGTACCCAAGTACTTTACAGTACTTTAAAAATACTCAAAAATGTATCTGTCAAGGTTTTCAAACAATTATATTTGATTTACCAAAGTCACAAAAGTGCCAATTTCACATTCATCACATCCATAACAAAGCATAAATGCAAAAATGAAAAATAAAATCAATAATTTGTGCATGAGAAAATGTTTACAAAATGATATTCTTCTGAACCCATGGTTAGTTGTTTTAAAAAATATAAACAGCTGTTTCAATATAATCCTAACAAAAACTTTCTTTGTGAATTTATGTTTGGAATTTTTACAGCAAATTTCACATCCATAACGCTGGAATTGCTCATATATAGAAAGGTGGCAGCGATAAAAAAAAACAGATGTAGATATCATTCACTAGATGGCAGACATACACCACACTCCAGCATTTCCCCATGCAGCACAACCTGCTACAACCCACACTGTGCAGCGGTATTTGTACCTGGAGAATATCTGTTGGACCGATTGTGGAGACACACATCTTGGAAGGGGAGATGAGGGGTGTTTAACAAAAATAATTAATTATTTTTTAGATAATATTTAATTACTTCATCCCTCCCACCCTTTTTCTTTCTCCGAGGCTTCAATGACAGATGGCCTAATAAACCAGTTAAAATTCCCCTCAGCCTTTTTCAAACTGACCTTGGGTTTTCACACACACACACATACACACATACATACAAACACAAGGTCATGTGCTGGTTTGTTACAAGATACTAGAGGGAGGAACATCTTTTCTTCCTCCACCCAGAATACACAGACAGTTCACTTGTACATACATGTCCTTTCACATACAAATACAAAAACACACAAGCTCTCTCCTCCCACCCTGTTTGTTCCTCCTCTCTCTCTCTTACACACACAAACACACTCTCACTCTGGTCGATGCTGTGAGTTCCTCCTCTCCGTGTTTGGGGAGGGGGTGGTGGGGTGTTGAGCACAGGATTCTCTCTGCTTTGCTCTCAGTCTGCAATCAGCAACGGACACACACGCACACAGACGCAGCAGCTATGAGCGCAGGCGATGTGGTGTGCACAGGATGGCTCATAAAATCCCCTCCGGAGAAGAAGCTAAAGAGATTTGTGAGTACTGTGTGTCTGGGTGTGATGTATTGAGCATTCGAAGCTGGTACTGCAGTGTGATGATCCGCTGTCAGTTCATGATCTTGTGCTTTTATAACACAGGATGTCTTTGCTGTGTTTCCCTGTGCTGTGTGGTTTAATGTGACTTGCATTTGAATACACACTACACATGCTCAACTAAGCGCTCTACTGCTCTGCCAGTCATTTTCAGTGCTGGATATTGTTTGACTGTGCTGTGCAAGGCTGCAGTTTCATTCCTGGACTTTGTTATGTGATGCTTTGCACATGCTAATTCGCAGCTGTGTTTGTGCAGCATTTGGGTGTCTTTCTTGCACGTGGTTGTGCTGCTTTGCATTGCCTTTTGCCTGTGTCAAATTCAGTGTGTGCTTTGTGACAAGGCAGTTTACCTGTGCTGTGACTCTAATACTGGCATTTAAAATGGCATAATTCTTTTATGGAATCTGATTTTGCAGTTTACTATAGTATATAAGTGACATGGGATTGTGCTTTGTCATGTAACTGCAGTCTCTTTGTTATTTGTCGATTGCAGAAATGCAGAGCGTACACTTTGTTGTCCTGTGCCTTTCCCCTGTTTGATCTAGCCTCCTCTCTTTTAGCATGTATCTGCAATCTGTTTAGCTGTTTGCTGTACTTAAATGTGCAATGTGAGTACATTTTACTATGATCTTTCATATCACCGCATTTACTTACAACAATTCTCAATCAAAGCTTGATGTTAAATTCAAAAATATGACCAGAGGAAGTGCAAGTATGATATCGAAATAAAAGTGAAATTTAGACGTAGAAGGAAATGAAATAGGATTTTCGGTTTCAACACACTCAAGCTATGTTTTTTGATAACAACTTTACACTATGTTTACAGTGCACAATGTGCAGTTTACCTGTCCTGTTGCGTGCTTCTGAGATTTTGTTCGCTTTGTTGTGATAATATTTCCCACTTCCCAGAATCTGAAATACAGTATAGCAGAGTTTAAAACAGGAACTGTTCAGATAAAGCTGGAACTGTTTAAAGCAGTGGTCACACTTTATTTTGATGGTTTGTTGAATTTAAGTTACATTGCATCTACATGCCAACTAATCCTCATTAGATTATAAATAGACTAATGTTGGGGTTACGGTGGCTAGTTAGTCGACATGTACTTGCAAAGTTACTTATAGTCAGTTAAATGTCTGTTGAAGGAGCAGTATCAACAGATATTAAACAGACAGTCTACTAATACTCAACTGGACCATTAAAATAAAGTGTTACCACAGCAAAACACAGTAAAACACAGTTGGACTGTTTCTGACCTCAGTTTTGTTGTAAACAGGAGTAGATCTTCATGGTAATCACAACTAAACACACTACTGTATTAACAGTGTAAAGCCCCTCTGACACTAAGAACCGTAACTATAAATACAACTATATTAGCATTCACATCAAGAGAAGATAAAGCTCTGTTTATTATAAGCATTGCAGTTGTGTCATCATTCACTATAAACCCTTAAGCTCTTTAAAGTTGGGTGTATTCTGATTGGCTGTCATTATTTTTACAGTTCACCAGCAAAAATCGTCCAGAAAGTGATTATTATAATAAAGGCTTGCCCAAGCAACATTACTACAACTACATTAAGTTTTAATAATTGTTGTTGTTCTATGAGGATATAGAGAAGTACATATAACACTAATAAGGATACAGGCTTGCTCTGGTGGAATCACTTTCAATATGATTTTTTTCAAGCTCAAGCTCTGACAGTCAAATTCAGATCCATACTGCTTTAAAGAAACATTTCTTTATTTAGTTTGTTGGATTAACAACTAATGTTACAATTTTTGGTGTGGACAGACCTTGACTGACCTGCCTAGTCTCACAGAATTAGAATGATTATTAAAACTTTATAGTTATAGTCATTATCCTTGGTGTGAACAGCTCTTAAAATTGCGAAATTAAGCACTGAATCATTAGTCTCATCACATCACAGTCTCATGCAGATATATTTGAAAATAACATGCACAGAACAAGACTTTGAGTGAGTCAGTTTACCAAGAATTGGACATTATAATGAACTATGATCTTAAAGTAATGTTTTTGAGCATAAACCTTTATTTTTACTTCAAACAGGCTGGCTGACTTTTTTCTTTCTGTATTGAAATCCAATCCAATGCTGTTGTTCTTTATATATTACTTTTGTTACTTTGTATTGCTGTTATAGTTTTGCTTTTTCTTTTGTGAGGCAAAACAATATCTTTCTTATGAACAAAACCATGAAACCATAAAGACTTTAAGAAAATAATAATAATAATAATAAATGTGCATTGCACACAAGTATTTGATACACCACCGGTCAAAAAAATTGGGGTCAATGTTTTATTTTTTATTTTTAATCATTCGGTTCATTAAGGTGGCATTTATTAAATGTAAAAAAAAATAATAATAATTGTTAAAAAAATAAAAAAATTGTAAAAAATGTATTACAATTTTAAACAACTACGTTCTAATTGTACATATTATTACTCCAGTCATTATTGCTTTTATCACTATTACCATTATTAATAATTAAAAATTATTATATATATTTATTCTAATAAATAAATTAATAATAATAAAAGTAATAATAATTAATATTAGAGTGATTTCTGATCATGTGACTGAAGATTGAAGTAATAAAGCTGAAAATTCATAAATTTTGGTAGCCAGTAATACTGTAAAATTTACTATTTCACTGTAAATTAACAGTTACAACTGTGCTGATAAACTACAGTACAATTGTAATTGTTCATTTACAGTGCACTTTTACAGTAATTTTTACAGTATTACTGGCAAAATTTACAAGGGCACTGTCAATTCAAAATTACAATTGTGCTGTTAAACTACACTTTCTTCTAAAATTCACAGCAATATTTTAGTGCAGGGGTTCTCAACCTTTTTCACTTCGGGGCTGTTCACTTCTTTCTCCGATCAATTTTTTGAAGGCTTACCTGTCAGTTAATTTCTCTAAAATGCTTGTATGAAATGCTCATTTAAACCTTAAACCTTTTGTTAATAAATATATATGTATTATATATGTCTTCTATTATTTTCTATTATCAGCATTTAAAAAAATATATATATAACTGTACTTAAATTTAATGATATATAAAACTAAAACTATATAATATACAGTATATTTTATTATGTTTTAAAATATATAAAATAAAAATATTAAAATATACACAGAGTCTATGGCAGAAACACCATTGAACCTTGCTAGATCCTTCTGTATGGCCGCACGTCCGTTATAAAACACTCACATGACATCAATTTGGAAAACTATGCAGATATATTAAATAGTTCACACAAAAATACACAAAGAGAGACTTTCACTTCACGCATAGTTTGTGAATGAACAGACTTAAGTGTACTAGTTGCAGACAAGATCATGAGGCTGCTTTTGCACTTTTGAGGTAAGTTTGAAGTAATTAATCAGAGAACGAGAGAAAGTGCATTATTTAAATTCCTTATTAGGGATATATTATTCCTATATAGCATATTAATAATGATATCCAAAAACTATAGTAAAATATTGAGAGTTGATTTAATTCTCATAGCCACGGCCCACCAGTTGAGAATCCATGTTTTAGTGTATAGTTCACCCAAAAATGAAAATTCTGTCACTGTTTACGCTCTTGTTCATAATCTATTTAAGTTTCTGTCTTCTGATGAACACAAAAAAGATGTTTTGAAATTGATCTTGTATTTTATCATTTAGTCGATGGGTCCCAGCAACCAGCATTCTTCAAAATATCTTCTTTTGTTTTTCGACAGAAGAAAGAAACTCATGAAGGTTTAAAACCAAATTAGCAAGAGTAAATGAATGATAAGGTAGTTTTCATTTTTGGATGAACAATCCCTTTTCTCACAATTTGGCATCCAACACTAAGTATTAACATTTAAAGCAATCTATTTTTAGATGAAATATTACTGCATAAAATATGGCATGTCAACATATCAAATGCACCGCTGCCACTAACTATCCATTCACTAATCTTGTGTAAATCGTTTGGCTAAACGTGTTAGTGAGTTCATATTTTGTTTGCTAACATTTTAAGATATCTAAGAACAAACAAATGAATATGCATATTTGAGTATACTGTATAACATGTTCACCATTTTTAATCACTATTACTCTTTTGTAGCTTCCTTAAAGGTACACCGTAAAAAAATGCTGTAAAATTTACAGTATTACTGGCAATTTTGTTTTTCTTTTGTCAGCAGTTTATAATTAAGCATAACTGTATTAAAATTTAATGATATATAAAACTAAAACTATATAATATACAATGCAGTATATTACAACTATGTATATTTTATAATTGTATGTATATATATATATATATATATATATATATACACACACACACACACACACACACTATATATATATATATATATATATATATATACACACACACAGAGTCAATGGCAGAAACACCATTGAATCTCACTAGATTGTCACGGCCACAGCCCACCCGTTGAGAATCCCTGTTTTAGTTTATAGTTCACCCAAAAGTGAAAATTCTGTCACTGATTACACTCTTGTTCATCATCTATTTAAGTTTCTGTGTTCTGATAAAAACTAAAGATGTTTTAATATTGATCGTGTATTTTATCATTCAATTAAATGGGTCCCAACAACCAGCATTCTTCAAAATATCTTCTTTTGTTTTTTTTAATTTAAAACCAAAGTAGCAAGAGTAAATAATGATGTAGTTTTCATTTTCAGGTGAACTATCCCTTTTACTGTTTCTCACAATTTGGCATACATCACCAAGTACTAACATTTAATGCAATCTCTTGAAGTAGCTTTAGATGAAATATTACAGCAGTTTTAGATGAAACATGGCACGTCAAAATATCAAATGCTCCGCTGTCACTGGCAACTATCCATTAACTAATCCCTTGTAAATCGCTTGGCTAATCGTGTTAGTGAGTTTATATTTTGTTTGCTAATAGATGACA